TCCAAGAAGACGAGATTTTGTGACATAGCTTAGTACCGATCTACCCAAAAGTACTGAAGGTAGTGGTCTTATAATGGCTTGCGTGCTAATTTGTATTTGTATTGTATTTGTATTTCCATAAGGTCGCAATAGTAGCAAGTATGATAGATATTTTAAGAAATATACAACTTTTTTGAAAAACATGTTTCGGTATGCATATGCCACCATCAGTCAATGAGTAACTAAGAGTGAACAATTATATAGTAGACAAGTAGACGAATAAATTATTTACAATATGATGTAATACAAAAGCGGATACTAATTACAAGGTGACACCAAAACATCAAAGGTGTAGACCAGAACGCTAGAAAAGGGGGAATGCTGTAATTGTTTGTTAAGTTCAGGTTTGATCTTATTTATATGAAAAGCTTCTTCAAACTAGTTTTCACTTCTTTTAAAATTCAAAACATGTTCTGCGTACTCTTGATACTCTTAAAATCCATGGTAGCTTACCAATTTTCTTGTACGGGATGTAATTCCCGTTATCATATTGGCGAAACTACTCGCCACTTTTCTACTAGGATAAAGGAACACACAGAAAGCGATAAAAACTCGCATATTTTTAAGCATTTCAACACATCTCCTTCTTGTAAGAACAACTACTCCCCTTCTTGTTTTAGTATTCTGGATTCCGCTAACAACTCAACTGATTTAAAACTCAATTGGTTTAAAACCTGTAGACCTCATGCAGCGTTCTTTTTAACGAAGCAATCGCTGCGTCTCCAGACTCTCCGATGCAGAAAATTGATGTATCGTCCACGTACATCAAAGATCCCATGATTACCGTGGCGAGCAGATGATTAAAAAAAAAAAAAAAAAAAAAAGTCTTTACATAGGATTATACAATTACTGGTGAACCAGTAGTTTCCATTGTGGTCCTTGCAAACAAATGAAACAAATGGTCTAAATTGAACATAACATCATTAAAAACCCCAACCGGCCGGAGTCAAACCAGTTGGCTATTTACAAGCGTGGCCAAGGATCTGAAGTCAGGGCTACCGTGAAACAGATCCAGTGGTCAGGGTGGGACTCGAACCCGGGAGCGGCGGATTACAAGTCCGACACTCAAACCACTCGGCCACACTGCCTCCTTAATTAGAAATAATGATTAGAAATAAAGTGAACAAAATAGGGCCTAAAACAGACCGGCTGTGACCGACCTGACATGTTTCCAGCTGTTACTGGAAACATGTCAATTTGACTCTCTTAAGCACAGTAAACTGCTTTCTGCAGCTCAAGTAGTCCCTAGCCAATCTAGCAACACGCCCGTAATACCAAACTTATATCGGATCTCCGAAAAGTATGCGTTCATCATCTGTGCTTTTTCTTTATCCGTTAGAGCAAAACTGCCATCGGTTCTCTCGGTTCTCTTAAGGGAGCCTACTATTTTGTTGCGTGCTGAGCTATTTGTAGCTTTGTTAATTAAGTTCGAGTTCCAGTGAGCACGCAATTTCTTTACTTCTTCAAACATTTTGGTAAAAGTGGGATGTTTTAGCTCTTCGCAAAGCTGAGGTGACTTCATTTCTGGCTTCTGATTTCTAACTTTGGAGTGCGGTTTATTGGTGTTTCACGTCCTACAAAACTGAGATGATTGGGTGCTTTAATAAAATTCCATACTTGTTGGAATAGAGAACTAAACACTGAAGACGGAAATACCAGGGGGGCAAACTTAGATTATCTGAATGTCTGTCAAATCATTCCTGCCTAATTAACAGGATAAATTTTAATGCAAATTATCTCTAAATTCAATTAAAATAACAACTTCCTCTTTCTGAGAAGGATAGTTCTGATTTTTACGACCCTCGCTGAAGACGAACTAGCGGTGGGGTAGCGGGAAAGAAAATGAACAAATCTCGTGTTGTTCCGAACCTTGGCTTTGACCGTACATTGAGACTGACATCAGATTCAACTCTAACAGAAGAGACCTGGATGATTTCAGTGGCGATTTCTCTCTTAAGATACTGTTCGTAATTTGCATCCAGCTCAAAGAGAAACAAAGCGCCGAGGTTTAACCGATCTCCGAAACCTGGATTCCTTTGACCGTACGCGTTTGACCGCATTGAGTTTAAGGAAGATTTAATTTTGAGATTGAGATTTGTCAACAATTAAAATTTAGACATGGGACACGTGGCTTTCTTTGTTTTGTCAAAATTTAATTCTGAACCTACGTTACCACCAAAGAAAGAGCTATATTTGTATCGCTGATTAATAATTGAAGCTACACTAAATTTTGAATGGTGAACGAGAAATCCATAAGCAAAAGGGATGGATCGGCTGGGCCACACAAATATCCTTGAAACAATTGTTCTATGGTTTTTAGCATTTTTTATGTATTGTATGTCACTATTTTAAACAAATGCACGAGTTTACTTGCACTTTGTGGCAAATTTATGCTGCGGAATCCAATCAAAATAAAACGCTCATTTCAATCGTTATCCAGCTCGCAATCTCATGATGACGTAGTTACGGTACAAAGGCCACATCAGCAATTAACACCAAACTTAAGAATACTCGTTCTCCTCATGAACGGTTCACCGCTATTAAACAGGGCACGTTTAAGTGGAAGAGAAAACAAACCTTGTCACGTTTTAGAAGTAAACATCTAAACTGAGCAAATTATTAGAAGCCCTTGGAATCGCTCTTCTTGCACATGACACAACAAGGGCATGTGTGGGCAGCCTACAAGAATGTAATTATGCCTGGTTTGTTATGGTAACCGAACATTACGATCTTACTAAATTCATAAAAGTATTCTCTGTTAGTCTGGATCAATTATTTATGAAGAACTTCTAGCAGATAAACCCAACCATAATAGTTGAATGAGCTGTTGTCAACGAGATTTAGAAATCTCCAGAAAATAGGCAAAACGCACGAGTCTTCCTATTTCATTGTTGTTCGGTGCTGAACCGCCGCGAAATTGTTCACCTTTGGAATCCAAATATCATTCGAAAGGAAAAACAGCGACGAATACATTTGAATTTGCAGATGGCTTTACTCCAAGAACCAGATGAGTTTAATATTCTTTCAGGCGACGAGTTCGTTCTTCTAGAGGAAGATGAAGACCCAACACCACCTTTCAAGAAACATAAGCGGGTTCACTGGTCACAGGATCTGGTAGAGGTTTTCTATTTTGTACCAACGAACAACTCGGTTATTCCCCCGTTCGCAGATTACTGTTCCTCAAACAGGAAATCGCGACAGAGAAAATCGCGAAGGACTGCCAGCTCCCTGACACGAAGTGCAGAACAAATCAGCACCGTGATGGTTATGAGAGGACTACAGTTTATTACAAAACAACTGAATGATTTGACAGTGGGAAGTGTTTCCGAAGACAGGTCAAGCAGATGGGACGAACTGTTACAATTGTACATGATACGAGAGAGGCTTAAGGACGAGAAAGGCGACTGGGTGTAACGCAGAAATAAGAGGGAAACTTAAGTCATGTAAATGGAAATAAACATATAAACATACCTCACCAGCTGGCGTCGAGTACGACAAGAAAATATGCTAGCCGCAGAAACGGCTTCAGAAACAGCGAATTCCGCTTTCAACCAAGAGAGGCACATGAAACCAGGATAAAATTTCAGAAACGCAACTGGGAGTTCCTCAGCGCGAAAAAAAAAAAAAAACCTCATTACTGAGAGGCAAACGACGACTGAAGGGAATATAACATCTTGGTAGCCGAGAAAACAAGTTCTGCGAATAATTTATTGTACTTGACAATATTCTTCGTCTGTTGTCCGCTCATCGATCTTTCAGATGCACATGGATGGATCATCATTAACGTGAGGAAATACGGAAAAGCCACAATCATTTGCCATCATAATAGCTGAGTTAAATCAGATACAAAACGAAGCGACTAAGAACGCGGTTACAGTTCAAATGAATTCGATTGATGAGAATTTGTTCAGCAACGACTCTGGAATATTGAACTTTGAATCATCACTTACCACAAGCAATTAGTTTGTTGAATCGAACAAATAACAAACTACAGCAAATTAGCCACATTTATTTGATTAATTTGTAATAAAAATACACTCTTATGTATAGATTCAAAGAAAGAAACAAAAAAAAAAGAATAAGACCCACACTTTTAACAAAAAAATCGGAATCGACAGAATTGCATTTTATTTTGAGTCATCACTTGGAAATCATAGAAACTATTATAACTTAAACCTCGGTTTCTCAGATCACGTCTAATCAGGGACAAAAGTCATTAATTTTTAACGTTAACAACTCTCAAGGACTCGCCGTGAGGCTAACAAGATCTCTCACGTGTATGATAACAATGGTCTTAAATGTTTCTAGAATCTGTCGTACGCTTTATGCATATTCAAGACTATTTGTGAACATTCATCGGCAAACGGTTTACCCAAATAGAAAATCTGTTTGTTTTACGGAAGACTGCCACAGAACTGTCTTCGAACTTAGTTTGCATTTATTGTAGAGCTTTGTGTACAATTATCAAGTACTATTCTCTTTTCATCAAAACGAGTGTCAAATACAATGATCTTTACCAGATGGGATTTGTTGTTCAAGTTAGTTGTAACAGTACATTGTAATGATTGCTTAAAGAAACAAAAGAAAAAGGAATCCCATGTTTCTCATATTTTATTTCATGCATTGTGTACAATTGTCTACAAACTTACTTCATACTCATGGTCGGTGACATGAGACATGCAGTTTCCTTTGTCAAGCGACAAACTTGAGGTCAACTTTTAGGCAGATAGAACAATGTTCAGAAGTGATTAAGAACACTTACTAAATATCTAAGGTGTGCTTGCCGCTTAAAGCAAAATATTGAAAACTAATTTTTGGGAAAAAACAAAGCTATTAAGGCATCATCCCCTCAAGAGCCAAATTATGGGCTAAGTCAGAAATGAAAATCAACAACAACATCAATCCCTCCTCTTGATGATCTTCAAAATAAAGAAAAAAAATACTACTTGCACAAATTCTTGCTTTTGAATATTTTATAGAAAAGGCGCAAGACAAATAATAATAAATAATAAAAAATGTTAAAAAATAATTGGCCACTTGTCATTTTTTGCCATGACTGCAAAAAAAGATAATTATCTTTATAGAATATTGTCATACCCATAAACTTCTACAAAACCCTCCAAGAAGTAAAGCTACAACTTTTACGTTAAAAGTAAAAATGGCAATAATGATAATACTGTTAACAGTTAACAAAATAGAATAAAAAACTGAGGCTATTAATTCATGTTTGAATCAACGGTAAAATGGGGGTAGAGTGTGTTAACTTTATTTTCCTGCTTCACACATTCAGTTGATAACTAAACTCTAATGATTTTTACTTTCAAGAAGCAAACTTACACCAATTGGGAAATAATGGCTACAGGCTGGGAGTACAAAAGAAAGTGAGCAGGGATATTTATCTGTGAACCAACTTACATTTGCCATTTTTTTTGTTTCAAGTAATAGGGGCTTCTCAATTCAAAATTGAAACAATTCTTACTGCTGAAGTCTCATTAGCTATTTAAAAAGAAAGGCTCTTATCAAAATAGTTTTCACACTGGACATTATGTAACACATAATTATTACAAAAATATGATAGACTAAAAATCCTAGTGAAGGCTGATCAACAAAAATACGACAGGCCATCAAAATTTCTTTTTAACAATGAGATTTTAACTTTCCTTCAACAGTTTCCCTCAAAGATGAAAACTTTACAATGAAATATCTTGCAGTGTCCACTATATATTGGTGCAGGTTTTGGGTCTCAGTTAAAACAGCTCATTTTAATTGTCTCATGTGCTTTATAATGCAGGTTTTGGTTGATAATAGTGTCATTATACATAATTTGTTTCCAGAGTTACATGTAAGTTAAGATTTCTCCAGGCTACCTCTCCAGCTAGAGTTTTGCAATAGCTGATTTTCCTTTGCTTTTGGCATTTTGGGTCTTATTTGCCTCATTTTCAATAAGATAAACAATGTCTCTGGCACTTCCCCAGTTTAATGTCATTCCCCACCTGTAATGGCCATAATTATGAAATATACAGGGTTCTATTGGATCTTGTTCTAGTCTAAGTCCAGGTTTTCTTGCCGGTCGAATGCCGACAGTGACCTGGAAATCACTATCCCTCAGTGAATTCAGACATGGACAAAGATCCTTGCATTGTCTGATCATGGATTGGACATATGGAGCAGAAATAGATGCACTGTGGTCCCACCGGTTTGGCTGATAAAATGAGCCACACATCAGTGAATCTTCACCTGTACAAGCATAAATTGGGAAAAAGCTGGATGTCTGATTTCTACAGATGAAGAAGTTATAGCAGATTGTAAACCTGAATTGTTAGAGTCTTGATCAGAAATCTAGTGCTGTTTTAGCTGTAATGGATCTGGCAGTGTTAGTGAAACTCAATACTAAATAAAAAAACACAAATGGACAACTAAAAAATCTAAATTCATAATTAGCAATGCAGTCCAGAGAAATGAATACAGATTGTTTACATTTCTGTGCATTAAAGTAAGCTAAATGTGGGCCCAGAGCCTTAAAGCCAAAACAATCAAATAAACCAAAAGTCAATCTCCCAAAACACAATCAGGCTACTATTTCAAAAACAAAATTCATTTCAATAAAACACAAATCAGTCCCCAAAGTCACAAACCAATTTTCCAAAAATCAAATCAAAACAAAGTACAACGTGTGCTTGCTCCATAATTACACATCTCTTTTCCTTCAAGATACTTCTTCTAGAGACCCCTCTTTCTCCTACCATGTGATCAAAAGAAAATAAGGGCAGTGGAAACAAGAATGTAAGTTAGCTGGTGGATTTGTGTTACTCTGTTCTCTGATTCCAATCATCCATAGATTAAAATGCACAGCAGGTTAACTGTACTAGCTTTCAATCACTGTTTACAATGCCACTTCTCCACTTCTGTTACAGTGTTCCCCTAATCAAAATTATCCCATCTGATTAAAGGAAACAAACAATGATAGTAACTTAATTAATTCAATACAATCCAATGCAATTAAGTGAAAGATAAAAGGAAGCCAAAAGGAAAAAAGACCTCACGTTGAGGTTATTTCTCATTTCTGTACATAACAGTCAGGTCAGTTTTGTGTAAGTGAACATGTTTAATGGAATATTGCATTCTAATATCTAATAACATAAATTTAAAATATAGATAACTATATCAATAATCATTATTATCAAAATATATTAATTCATTGCTCTACCTCTGGGTATAAGATATGGACGACCGACAATTTCTTGTCCTGATTCATCATACCCAAAGCTGGTATGCTGCCCTTCCACACAAAATTCAATCTTAGGAAATAAACTGCCATCGTTTTTTACCTTTAAGAGAATCCCTGTGAAGATGATATATGCAGTTAGTCTCAATAAATTTCATGTTGGCTTGAGTATTCTTTTCCTTTTTCTTTTCAGGCTTGAACTTCTGATGATGAGGTCTCAGGTGTATGCAAAGCATTTGTTGTTTCAAGTTTGGCAAGTGAACTCTTCTCCTAACATCATTTCTACCATCAATGACACGATCCATCATAGATCAAACTTTTCCACAGCCAATGGGAACAAAGCAAATAAATTTACTTGCTAATGAAAAGAAAAACCATTACCCCTTGCTGGAAACATTCCTTGATCCCCAGCTAACTCTATTGAGCCTAAGCCTGAACAGTTCACAATAAACTGAACACCATACGTCATTCTTAGTGCATCTGCCTGCTCTGTCAGTAGTCCTCTAATGGCACCTTGGATTAAGTGTGCCCCTTTCCTTTTGCACTATAAAAAACTAACGATAATTTGATTATGCCATTCACTGTGTTGATAAAGATATTTTGTTTCACATTCAGGGCTATAGAATTTTACTTCTCGTGTGTTGTTAAAAGGTGGGTATTATTTGAAAGTAACCATCTATCCTTGTTTGCTTCATTTTGTTTTTGTTTTTTTTTTTCCATGAGTTCAGCCAAGGCTCTTCATTGGCCATCTACTATGTACAGCCTGAGAACATAATATAACATTTCTTAACCCCTTAGAAGGGGAAGGGGGCTATTGTTGCACAGGTAGCCCAAGCTCTCTTTAAGAACCACACAAGGAACACAATTTGCATATCGATTTATAAGGATTTGTAAAGGAGTTTCTACAAGATATCCATGGAGACAGTTAAAATTGAAAATATTAAATAAAAATGGCTTACTTTATTCTATACGTGTGTTGTTTGCTCCTGGTGTCGTTGTTTTACCGATTTAACTTGATTTAAGTGGTTTTTTTTAATCCTGGTTTTCTCCTCTTAAATCCAGGATTAAAAAAAAATCGGTAAAATAATGACATCAGGAGCAAACAACACACACATGGATATCTTGTAGAAAATCCCATACAAATCCTTATAAATCGATATGCAAATTTTGTTCCTTGGGCTGCCTCTGATTGTTGCAGCATTATTTTACAAAATTAACTGATAAATTGGGATGGTTTTTGTATTCTAATTAAAAATCATCATCACTGAAAACTAATCTTACTCTATGATCTTGAGACTAATAATTATTCCTAAAAAGGTAATTTTGTTTTATGAACTAGGTTGATAATGTAAATTGGCCACTGTAAAGAGTTTAAAAGCTTACATTTCAAGTGTCAGCCCTTTGTCAGAGTGAAACTGACAAAGGGCTAGCATTCAAAACATCAGCTTTTGGGACTCTTTATGGTGGCCAATCAGCTTTAAGCACTCTTTACGGTGGCTAATTCACATTATCAACTTGCTTGATAAAACCAAATTATCTTGTTACCTCAACTGACACAGCACCACAGTTTCTTTAGAAACTTACCTCCTCAATTCCTAAAAACTGTGGGGTAAGAGGCATTACTACCTACCTACCTGCCTACCTGCCTACCTGCCTACCTGCCTACCTGCCTACCTGCCTACCTGCCTACCTGCCTACCTGCCTACCTGCCTACCTGCCTACCTGCCTACCTGCCTACCTGCCTACCTGCCTACCTGCCTACCTGCCTACCTGCCTACCTGCCTACCTGCCTACCTGC